GCTTTCCGATGGAAAATACTGGAAAATGGTTTGAATTTCAAAGGTAACCTCAAGAGTAAGAGTAATAGTCAATAATCATAACAGGAAAATAGGAAATAGGATAGGAAAAACATAATAGGAAAAAAAGAATCAAAATAAATAGGATGACGAGTCCTTTAACAATTTGAAGGAGCCGCCACGCAACAGAACTCGTACGCGGCGGCCGCCACGCCGCCGGCTCCGCCCACCGGCGCGACCCACTTATCGTCGACGATAGAATCGCCACACACCCCATTCCTCACAACTGATGACTAGTGCACTATTAACCATGAGTACTACAGTAGAAGGTTCTTACCGTTCCGTGTGTGCGCGCATTCCTTATCAAGGCGCTCAGGTGCTGTGTTGGAAACGGTGTGTCGCTAATTGAAGTTCTCTGTAGAGGCTTCTTTATATGATGCGACAATGTTTGTAAGCCACCATGGTTGCGATGTATGAGGACAACTTGGTGCTTCGATCATTGACGCCTCCTTTTCATTATACAGTGGAATTCGGCAGTCTTATAGAGAACAAAAATAACGTACCCTTTCTTCATGGAGTATGCATCGGACCCCAGTGTTCAGTGTCCTGTCTAATGGTTTCAGTTCTATATAGAACTACTTTGGAGAACTCAAAAAGATATCCAGGTAAAATAGCTAAGATAAGCTGATCTCATTCGCTGTAATTGAGCTTCCTAATCAGCAATGTGGTTTTTATGCAAGTCGCGGGGGACTTTCAGAGCTTGGTTTTTCTTTCGGACATGCAGAGCGAAAGTGTTCAGAGGGTCCAAGTTTAAGTTTGAAGTGTGGGTCCTTCGATTGTTATCCTGCACAACAAGTTCGCAATACCGGTATGTGGCGAGAAGGTGGAGCGAATATTTTCCCGAATCCACTTTTTCTGTCTTTGCGCACATATACCTTTCACATTGTTACTTCACCTGCATCAGAATAGCAGCTAGTACCAATAGGGCACGATTATTCTTTCATTCATGTGCCTGGCTTGCACACTCTAGGAAGGCATCATTTCTAGTTTTTAAAAGTATATGAGCAATTAAGTAAAATCCTTCCAATTTTCAGGGCAGAAGTTCGCTCTTCTCGAAGAAAAGGTGGTATTGTCGTGGATATTCCGGCGTTTTCATGTGGAAACAGAAGAACCGTTCCCAGGAAATCGATCAGTACCTGAGATAATTCTCAAACCGAGCAACGGCTTCCGAGTGCGGCTTACAAAGCGTTGAAGGTAAAGTGAACTCGAAAGCTGACTCCATGCAACAATGTTCCGCAATTC